TTCTGAGGATCAAACTCAGGTTTTTCAAATTTTTTTAAATTTTAGTTATATTTTATGTATATGAGTGTTTAGCCTACATGTAAGTGCACCATGTGCACGTAGTGCCTGCAGAGGCCAGAGAGGGAGTTGGATCACCTGCAACTGGAGTTACCACAGATGTTAACTGCCATGTGGGTGCTGGGACCCAAACCTGGGTTCTCTGAAAGAACAGCAAATGCTCTTAATTGCTAACCCATTTCCCTAGCCTCAAACTCAGGGTTCTTTAAAACAGAGTTTTTTTATGTAGCTCCTGAACTCACTATATAGCTCAGGCTTTCTCAAACTAAAGCAATTCTCCTGCCTCAGCTTCTCAAATGCTGGCATTAAAGGTATGAGCCACCATTCTTGGCTAGACTTCATGTCCTTTAAGGATAAGGCAACTATCTAAGCAATATAATCTGCATGGGCAGGAGGCAGAGGGACAATGACTAAATAAGCATTTCCTAAAGACTTAGTCCTCTTAATTCGCCTACCAAAATTTAAACTGTTTGGAAGCAAAGACTCCAATTTCATTTTCCCCCAGGTCTCTCAACCACACAACCTTCAGCACTGGGCACAGTGTCCAACACATGAAGCATCCATTACATATTCACTGAATATACTCAAGTGCTAAAAGTTATGAAGGTAGTACACTGAGATATCTCAGACACACAAGCCTGAGGACATGAGTTAGATCTCCAGAACCCACTGTGGACTGAGAAAACAGTACTCCTACAAGTTGTCCTCTGATCTCCCCCGACACACTCAGGCACATGTCTGCATTTACACATATCATACACACCATACACAATAAATAAATTTAAAACAATTTTTTTTTGGTCTTTTTGAGTCAGGGTCTCCCGGTAGCCCCAGCTGGACTGGAACTCACTATGTAGACTATGCTGGCCTCAAACTCACAGAGATCCACCTGCCTCTGCTGAGACTTAAAGCATGCGCCACCACGCCCAGTGACATTTTTCATTTGTATTACCTTTCTAACTTAAAATTTTTTATTTTATTTATTAGCCAGGCGTGGTGGCGCACACTGTTAGTCCCAGCACTTGGGAGGCAGAGGCAAGTGGATCTCTGTGAGTTCGAGGCCAGCATGGTCTACATAGTGAATTCCAGGCTAGCTGGGGCTACAGGGAGACCCTGGCTCAAAAAGACCAAAAAAAGAAAAAGAAAAGAAAAATGTCAGTAAGATTTTAGAATTCTTACACAATTTTCCAAAATAATAATTTTAGTCATCATTTGGGGTATCTAATTTTTAGTCTGCTAACTAACAAATCAATTATGATTTTTTTTTTTTTTTTTGTCTTTTTGAAACAGGGTCTCCCTATAGCCCCAACTGTCCTGGAACTCACTACGAAGACCAGGCTAGCCTTGAACTCACAGAGATCGGCCTGCCCTGTCTCCCGAGTACTGGGATTAAAAGCGTGCGCCACCATGCCCAGCTATCAATTAAATGATCTTTATTCCAAGCAGATATTCTTATTCTTAAGGACCCCATCTACTTGAGGCAAGAGGAACAAAAGTTCAAAGTCAGGGCTGGTAGCATGCACAAGGCCCTGGGTTTAATCTACAGAATGGTATAAATCAGACATGGTGGCACACACCTGTAATCCTAGCACTGGGGAGGTAAAGGCAGAAGGATTAGATATTCAAGGCCATCCTCAGTTAAACAGCAAGTTTGAGACCAGGCTGGGGTACAAGATACCATGAAAGAAAAAGAGTGAAGGGCAGGGAAGGAAAGGGAAGGGAAGGAAAAGAAAAGGGAGAGAGGAAGTAAAAAGAGGGGATGGAAAGAAAGAAGACAATTCAAAGTGATCCTGAGCTATAGTGTGAGTTCAAGGCCTGCCAAGGCAACTCATCAAGACCTGTCTCAAAAATAAAAAGCTGGGCATGGTGGCGCACGCCTTTAGTCCCAGCACTTGGGAAGCAGAGGCAGGCAGATCTGTGAGTTCAAGGCCAGCCAGGTCTCCTTAGTGAATCCATGCCAGCTGTGACTATAGGGAGACCCTGTCTCAAAAAGACCAAAAATAATAATAAAATAAAACAAAAATTAATTAATTAATTAATTAAAAGGTAGGACAGCAAAATGGCCCAGAGGGTGAACGTACTTGCCACCAAGCCTGACAACATGAGTTCAATTCCAGGAAGGAGAGAACTGAAAACACCCAGCATGCTGGTGTGTATTTATAATCCCAGCACTGGGAAGGTAGAGAAAGGAGAATCCCTGGGGCTCCACAGCCAGCCAGTCTAGCCTAACTCTCCAGGCCAAGGAGAGACCCTGTCTCAAGAATGTGGATGCCTTTCCCAAGGATGACACCAAGGTCATCCGCATGCACATGTGCACCCACACACACAACACACAAACGCATGCACACACATACAAATATAAATATTTTTTTTGGTCTTTTTGAGACAGGGTCTCCTTGTCGCCCCAACTGTCCTGGAACTATGTAGACCAGGCTGGCCTCGAACTCACAGAGATCCACCTGCCTCTGTCTCCAAAGTGCTGGGATTAAAGGCGTGCGCCACCACACCCGGCCATAAGTAAATTTTTTCAAGTAAAATTAGGGCTAGGGGTGTAGTTCAGTGGTAGAACACTTGCCTAGCAGGTCCCAGATCCTGGGTTCCATCCCCAGTACTGAAAAACAAATTCCTAAGGGCCTAAAACCACTAACGTTTTTATTAAACTAGCAGGGTACCTTAAACACAATAACAATACAAAAAGCAGTTACTGTATGACTAACTCAATACATTAAAGCCAAAATTCTACTGCTCACCAATGAAACATCAAATTTCAGAGTCAAACACCAAGAAGAAACTTAAATAAAAATATTTTCAGTTCCAAAAACACTAGCGAGATAAACGTAACTGAATTAATCCCAAAGTCTCTTACGTAGACTCAGGAGAGACCAAATAAACTGAACAAATGTGCTAATAAGGTTGTAACTGAAAACTATGAACCGGGATTTTATACTTCATGCCAAGCTTGCTATCTTGGTGTGGTGGTGTACACCTTTAATCCCAGCCTGTGGGAGACAGAGGCAGATCTCTGAGTTCAGGCCAGCCTGGTTTGCACTGGAGTTCCAGACCAGCCAGGACTCCATAGTGAGACCGTCTCCAAGAATCCCCTAGGGGGCCAGTAAAATGACTCAAGGAGTAAAGCCTGATGACTCAAGTTTGATCCCCAAAATCCACATGTTGTAAGGACAGAACTGACTCCCACAAGTTGTCCCTCTGACAGACACACAAACACACAATAAATAAATGTAAATCCTCTAGGGACAGCAGGGGTTTCATTTAAAAAAAAAAAAAAGAATCATTGAAGTACAACAAAAGTAATAGAGAAATATCTCAACTCTATCATCAAATGGATAAAAATATGAAGAAATGTCCGCTTCAAAGTGTGTAAAAAATCTTGGCTACTGTTACAAGTGTAACTTTATGCAAATCACATCTCAGAAGCTTCATTTACCATATTAATACAATTGAGGTGTAATAGGGCTATGGGGGGGGGGGGGATGAACGATTTTGTTCTTAAGATCTTTAAAAGCCATGATAACAACAACAACACTGGTGGTTTTCAATGTATTCAGAGGAATAAATGGCCGGTTACAGCATGAAGTAGGAAGGGGAAAGGACCCCAGCTATTATAAAGTTTCTATATTCAACTGAAAGTAGCAAAATAGTAATTCTAAGTACACAACAAGAACACACACACACACACAAAGAGAACATAAACGAAATCGTAAAATGGAAACCCTAAATCTAACCATATCAAATCATTACATTTAAATGTAAATGGTCCAAATACACATATTAAGACAGGTGTCAGAAAAATTAAAACAAGACCTACCTACATCAAGCTTTCTAAAATAAACCACTTTAATTATAGCAGGAGGTAAAAATAAAAAACAGTGAAAAGTAAAATATAGCTCTATTCAGAATCACAAAAAAAGTGGAAATTACAAGTCTTCACCAGTGATGAGTAACTATGGTACCTCCATACAATGTGAGGACTTAGCAGCAGCAAAAATGATGCCCTCAGATGGGTGAATATCTAATGCATTCATCTAAGTAAAAGCCAGTTTCAGAAGGTTACATACTATACACCCCCTACACCCCCATTCTTACCACGTTGTAGAAAAGGCAAAACTGGGCCGGTTCAGTGGTTACCACCTGTTGGGGATGGGGGCAGCTTTGGGCGATGGGGCTAATGGAAACCCCAGCTGTGATAGTACTTGTGACTTCCTCCATGTGCTACAACTCATCGAACTTCCACTGAGCATGAATTTTCCAAATAGAAGTATGTGGATCATGTCCCTGGACCCTTCCAGACTATGACTGTGAAAGAGAGCGCCAGGAAAACGAGCTAGAGCCTACTGACATCAAAGCTACTGCTCAGAAGGACTTCCTCATTCACCGCACAAAATACACAAAGTCAACCCACTCTTCAGAGAACCATCCCAGAAGGAGGCTAAGAAAACCAGCCATTAAAGATCCAAAACTGTGTATCTATAAAACGCCTGTGAATGGCGCTTCTTGTCCGCGTCTACACTGTAGACACTTCACGAAGCTGCCAACTTCCCCCGGCAGGGCGCCGCGTTCTCTTCTGGGGTTTACTCGACTGACAAGTGGCCCTTTGTGCGGACCTGGGGCTGACTGGATGCTAAGGTCTCCGGGCAAGCGATGAGGACTGTGCAAAAGCACTCGCCGGGTGTTAAGAACCCGGGGAGGAGGAGTCTCCCCAAAGCCACACGCCGCCCTCACCGCTCGAGTGCCCCCAGGGGCACGTGGGGGCTGGAGAGGCAGAAGGACCCCGAGCCCAGGCTGTGCATGGAGGCGAGTCGGCCACAGGGTTGAGCACGCCCGCCCGAGGAGGAAGCTGTCCGGTGTCGCGCCCGCCCTCATTCCCGACCGGCCGCCGTCGCCGGTCCGGTTCCCGGGGACTAGCGCGCCGGCCTGGAGCCCACCTTGAGCTGCGACTTGGAGACCTTGCCGCTGCGGTCCAGGTCGAGTGCAGTGAAGGCGTGCCAGATGGCCTTGAGCAGCTCGTCCTTCAAGCCCCCCATGGCCGCGGCCGGGCACACCAGACCCTGCTGCGCCAGCCCCTCAGCGCCACTGCCTCCCTCCCGCCTCTGGGCAGCCGACGGCGTCCGCCGAGGCGTCACCTGACCGCGGCAGGCCCCACCCTCCAGCTGGCCCCGCCCTCCCACGGGCTCCGTCCACAAGAGGGCCAGCCCACGCGGTCGGCTGGCGGGCGTGCTTGGGAATGCCAGCCTCTGGTGGGTCTAGGGGTGTAAACACACCACCAAATCCCTGTGTTGAGTTCCCGCGCCGGCTCAGGTTATTTCATTCGCTCCAAAGAAATGTCCTCCACCGCAGGAGACCGGAGTGAGCAGCTCATCTGTGACCTCATCTGTGAGTCAGGAATCCAGAAGCTGTTTAGAACTGGCTAGAGGTCTCCTGGGAATACGGAGCTGTACTCATCAGAAAGCTAAACTGATGCTGGAGGTCTCAGCGCCTCCTCTCACTGGGCCTTCCCACAGGTGCTTGAGTGTCTTCACATGGCTGCGCGCTGTCTCCAGAGTAAAGGGGTCCAAGAACAGAAAGGGGGCAGCTGCAATGGTTTTATGCTGGGCCTTGAACCCAGGGTCTTAAGGGTGCTAGGCAGTCACACTGCCACTGAGCTACACCCCCAGTCCCTGGTTTCTTGAGACAGGGTGTCTCTATGTAGTCTCAAACTCACAGTCTTCCTACCTCAGCCTCCAGAGTACTCATATTACAAGTGTGTCCCACTACACCTGGCACCTGTAATGTCTTTTTTTTTTATCCTAAATATCATCCATCATCCTTTTTTTTTTCCAATGTTCTACTAAGCACTCAGGACCATCCTATTTAATGTGAGCGGAGAACTATAAAAAAAAACGTGTCAGTAGGCATGAATCATTGGGGTCAGTTTGGAAGCTACACAGATGTGGAGCAGAATCCTGGCTTTCCCATGTGTTCACCAATGAATATATATGAAGTTTCATTTCTTTGTATGTAAAATGGGGGAGGGGTCTTTCTAAAATGATAGACTTAAAGGCAAGCATGACACAACAGTGTCACAGTATCTGGCAACTTGATGTTTGGCTCATGTGATGGTTTCACCCTGTGTTAATTTAGCTAAACTGGAATTTAGTTCCCTAGATTTCTGCTTTTTTTCTCCTTTTGTGAGGCAGGATTTCACTAGCTCAGGCTGGCTTTAAACATGCAACTGATGAGGATCTTGAACTTCAGATCCTGCCTCCATCTCCCAAGTGCTAAGATTATAGGTATATGAATGTGTGCTGCCACACCCAGCTCTAAATTTCCTTTTCTAATGTGGTTCCAGAATAGGAGCAGCCACAAGGGGAATTTATGTACAATTCATAAGGAGCAAGTGGATCAGGGTCCTCATACTCTATAGATATAGTGTTGGATGCCAGATGTCACTGAAGGCCATACGTTGTTATGGAGCTGCCAGTACAGGTTGTAATGCAGAGCATCAGCCAGGCCATAGCATCCCTGTTCCCAGTATCCCCATGGCAAAACATATGTGTAGGTCTACTATGAAGACATCCACTTATGCTACACATCATGTGCTTGTCAGTGAGAGACATAGACCAGTTCTAGTCTGCCCACATATATTCAGTTTATTCTGTGGATTCTTTTTCTTTAAATATTTTATTTATTATTTTTATGTTATGTGTATGTGTGTATTGCCTGCATGTAGGTAAGTGCATCCCTGTTGTGCAATGCCCTCAGAGGACAGAAGAGGCTGTTGGATCCCCTGGAACTGGAGTTACAGACAGTTGTTAGCTGCCATGTGGGTGCTGGGATTCGAACCCAGGTCTTCTGCAAGAAGAGTCAGTGTTCTTAACCACTGAGCCATCATCCAGCCCTATTCTGTGGATTCTTATGTGTCCCTTTCCCCCAACTCAATCTTAGTTTTTCTGGATTGCCAACCCTATGGTGAATGACTAGATACAGAGGAAATGGTCTGCCACAGACTTCAGCAGCTTTGCTATGTGGTCCCTAGTAGTGACTTTTCTTTGACCATCCAGCCATTTCCTTGCAAACCTTTTCTTCCCTAGCTTTGCCTGCACTTCTGTTGTGTCCAGACTGTTCTGGTTTGTTTCTCCATTGCTGTGACAACACTCTGACCACTACCAACTTGGGGAGGAATGGGTTTATTTGTCTTACATCTCCAGGTCATAGTTCATCAGGGATCCCAGGGCAGGAACCTGGAGGCTGGAGCTGGAGCACAGGCCATGAAGGAATGCTGCTTGTTGGCTTGCTCCCCTGGCCCCTGCTCAGCCTGCTTTCTTCTGCAACACAGGCCCATGTGCCCAGGGGTGGCACCACCCACAGTGGGCTAGGCCTGCCCACGTCACTCAACAATCAAGAAGATTCCCCACAGACATGGCCACAGGCCAGTCCTATGGAGGCAATTCCCCAATTGAGGCTCCCTCTACCCAAGTGTGTCAAGTTGACACTAAAGCTATCCAGCACAAGACTCTATGACAAATGCTGAAATCCCTGGCAGTGTGGCTTCCCTGGTCAGGAGCTGATATCGATCTTGGTAAAGTTGAGTACTGCCTTAACCATACACAGGTCATTTGAGGGGTAGAGGGACAGAAGTGAAAACAGTCTCAAGTGAAGCCTTGAAAGAATGAGGGAATTACTATTAGAGGTTGGTGTTAAGCCATGTATGGTAGTGCACATTTTATTTTATTTATTTTTTGTTTTTTGACCACAAGGTCTCACTATGTAGTTCTGGCTAGCCTTAAACTCACTTATGTAGACCAGGCTGACCTCAAACTCAGAGAGATACTCCTGCTTCTGCCTCCTGAGTGCTGGGATTAAAGGCATGTGCCACTACATCTGGCAAGATAAGGTCTTTTTAGAGGTAATTCTAGTCCAATGACTGATGTCCTTATAAAACAGGGAAATTTGGATACAAACATTCACAAAGGAAGAATATCATGTGACATGAAGACAGAGATCAAGGTAATAGGTCTACAAGCTGAAGGACACTAAGGATTGGAAGCAAAGCACCAGCAGCTGGGAGAGAGACATGGAATAAGTGCTTCCTCACAGCCCTTAGATAGGACCAGCTCTATTGACAGTTTGATACTAGACTTCTTTCTAGAACTGTGAGACAATAAATATCTATTGTTTAAGGCATTCACTTCTGTAGTTTAAAGTACTCAGTCTCTGATATTTTGTGACAACACCCCTAGCAAACTAATTCAAGTAGATAAAAGATATACTTGTTGCATAATGGCAGAAAGCTTGGCAACACTGTTGCCTAAGGTTACATAAAAAGTAGAAAGGGGAACTGGCCAGATGGTTCAGTGGGTAAAGGCACTTGCCCCCCAAGCCTGACAGCCTGAGTTTGATCCTGGGAACCCACACATGGTAGAAGGAGAGAACTAACTCCCACAAACTGTCCTCTGATCTCCATAAACTCATGGCATGTATATGCCCACACATACATACATGTATACACACACACACACACAAATCAGCTAATTAATGTAATAAAAAAAAAGTTTGGTGCTGGAGAGATGGCTCAGCAGTTAAAAACACTGGTTCTTACAGAAGACCCGGGTTCGAATCCCAGCACCCACATGGCAGCTAACAACTGTCCATAACTCCAGTCCCAGGTGGATCCAACAGACTCTTCTGACCTCCACGGGTATTGCACAGCATGGTGCACTTACCTACATGCAGGCAATACATGCACACCCGTAAAATAAAAATAATAAAGTACTTTTTAAAATAATAATAAACAGCTCAAAAATAGAAATAAGCTCATTTTAAAATATAATTTTAAAAAATTTTTAAATTTATTTATTTTTACACTTCCCAGATAGCACCTCCCATAGCCTCCCTCTCTCCACTTATACTCTGATATCCCTGCTACTGTCTGCTGTGTTGTTGGCACCCCCAGCCATTCCCCACTACTAACCCTTCTGGTGAATCTAGTCAGCCTATCTAGAGGGCTTTGTTTTAGGAGGGTTAGGTATTCCTCATCTAGCGGTAATCAGTTGTCAATATTCCTTTGGATAAGATTGGGGTCTGTTGTTGTCTGTTATTCATTTTCCCAGTTCTATGCTGGGTTACTATCTGGGAATCCCTTTGGCCACCCTGGCTAACAACTCAAAAGAAGGTATCGCCTGTCTGGCGTTGTTTCTTGTGATGTAGCCTTTGGCTATACATATGGACTCTTATGAAATTATATTGTCCCCTTTAATCTTTGGTTATACTTTCCTTTTGGGTGTTTAAGGCCATACAGTTGGTCCAGATGAACCAATTTATTTTTACTCTTAAGGTCGTCAGAGGATCTGTTCCTCAAGGGTCACATGGGCTTGGGAGGAGCCCCTGGATCCTTTATCAGTTCTGCCTATTTGAAGATAAGTTAAAGGTCCTGCTCGACCATGGTTGGCATTGCTTGGAAGCGTGGAGGACATGATTCCTCTGTGTTGACCCTCCTCTTTGTAGACTGGACACTGGTTCAAGTCCTTCTGGTGGGGTCTCCTCGGCCTCAT